TATATTATACAGATTAGACAGTTTACAATGCAATCAATGCTGTGTTTTTTTAAACGAATACCGGTCAGAATTAAGTCCAATGGGCATTTCATTCTTACAAATAAATATTGTTATTTTCCCATAGAAATAACACTTCGGGTAGCAAACTTTTGTTCGTTGTTTAGTTTTTTGTTCCAAACCGTGGAGGAGTAACCAAGGTCGAATTGTTCATTTTGCATCATGCACCCAATGATCTATGCTTGTAACGTAATATTTGCATCACAAAAATATGGTTTGAAAATAGAGTTGATCTTTGAAGGGCGCCCTGATTTAGTGGTGTCAGAGATTAGAACTGCTTTTATTTTTATTAACCCACGTTTTAAGAAATCCGATCAGGTGTCACGCGGCAGTGTTCAATGGGTATATGGTAACAGAAAACGGTATTTTGTCTGTATTATATTTAGATGTATCCTCGGGGGCGGAGCTACGTCACAAGACGTTCCACGTTGCTACGACGCGCACCACTGTACATGCATTTCTCTGGGATCTGTGCGCGCTGCTGTGGAACGCCGGTCGAGCCGGTGAAAATTCGAAAAAAACAACACAAACTCAACTTTGAAGTAATCCCAAACAACCAAACTTATATATGTTACACACGTAGGGCTAATCTTGTTACACTGTTCAGAGGAGTCTCAACAGTTATCCCAAAGTACCGTTTTCTGCGAGTTTTGGGTCTTTGTTTTCACCGCCGCAGGTTGCCAGGCGGTGAAAATGCCCGGATGTCCGCCCCCGAGGATAGTCATGTTTGTCACCTTAGTATAGCAGCCAACAATTTGAGATATGGCATCCAGCATTAATTAAATTTGGTATGTAAATTTGTTTCAGCAGTTCAATGGGATTTTTGTTCCCAGAGGTGAAAACTTTTCATATAAATCAATGGATGTTGGTGGGTGGTTCCCAACAAACACCTTGGTTAAATAAACGCCCACGCCCTTGCAAATAACATAATACAAGTTTGTTTTCGTGGTATAGGGGTGCTTA